CCAACTCTTGTGACCCCATGGACTGTAGCCTGTCAGGCTCCTCTGTCGATGGGATTCTCCAGGCAAGAATATTGGAGTAGGTTGCCACTTCCTTCTCCACACTGAGTCTTGAGCAATTTATCAATCCTAAAGAGTCAGGAATGAGAGCTGGAGAAGATGTTGGGCCAAAAGGAAGGGCGGGGCTTCAGAGCAGGAAGATGGGCAGCCAGTGATGCTCTGATACAGATCACCAGGCGAGGCAGGCCAGTGGCTGTCTCTGACCACAGGGATCAGCACACAGGCTCTCTGGTGGCAGGAGGGAGGGTGAGGGGAGTTGTGTGAGGTTCAGCCTGTGAGGGAGCCCAGCGTCTTGAGCTCATGCTCCCGCTGGCCTGAGAGAGAGAACTGACCCTTGACAGTATCTGCCCTTGGCTAAGATTTTGCACACTAACATTTGTTCTGGAAGGATGAACCCAAATTAAAGTTTATAACGACTAAGGGCAGGAAGTGGTGTTCCCACAGAAGTTCAGATTATGTAATGCTCTGAAGGAAACCCTGAGCAGAGATGGGGAGGGCAGGCGGGGGAACAGAGGAGGCAAAAATGAAATACCAATCAGCGAATGCAGAGCGGAAGAGCTCGGTGGTGGTGCCTGGGGCCCATTAGCATGTTCTTAGAATTGGTTTTGGTTTGACTTTCTGTCCACTGCAATGTATCATTTACTGATACCCAAGTTCTGGATCAGGACCTATTGAGCAGATGATGTTAAAAGGTGCTTCTGGCCCTTCGCATGGACATGGGCCCGGGAGTGCCGGCCCTTGGGTGGTCTGTGCAGTCACCTGTTCGTGTCTGAGTTGTTGGCTGAGCACTTTTCTGAGCTAGGCCCCAAGTGGTAGGGGACAGTTAGGGTCACAGACTTTTTTGGAAGTCAGAATTCCTGAAAACGTGACAGACCCAGAAATTTCTCAGGCTGCAAAGCATCCTCAGGGCCCCAGTGAGTGGTTTTCTAGTGTCAGGAGGGCCCAGGGAGACCTTAACTGACCAGCAGGTATAGGTGTGTGTATGGGGGCAGCACCCAGAGAGCCTGGAGGCCTGAAGCAGGAATGTGTGAGGCTGTAGCTGGAGGGACAGGGTGGTCCAGGCAGGAGGAAGGACCCTAGGGGATGGCGCAAGCTGGCTGTGGAGGGCAGCAGCTGGCCCAGTGTGGGTCAGGCCCGACCACAGAGTCGGGGTGATGGCAAGCAGTGGTGGACTAAGGTTGGACCACAGGCCTGGCCGAAAAGCTATGGTGTGGTTGGCAGGTTCTAAGCATCTGTGCAGAGGCACAGCCCTGGTTTCCTGGGCATGGTTCTCATGGCCTGTGGGAGGCAGAAGGCCCTGCTTGGCACACACGGGCAGCAGGCCCGCGTGCACCCTAATGCCCCCCTCAGGTTAGCCTCTGTTGGCTCTGGGGTCTCATAGCCTGTGTCCTCAGCCTGGCTGTGCCCTGGGGCTCTGGGGGCCCCGAGGATCATCACCCCCAGCCTCCAGTGTTTCACCTGCACAACAGGGAGGAGTATCCTGTGAGGCCAGGCAGTGCAGGGGTGACCCAGGCAAGGCTGGACCACGGGCCCAGGCATACAGGTTCTGACGTTGCTTCTGTTCCGTTATCAAAAGCAAACTCACCACTCTCTGCTAGGGAGACTCTGGAGATGATCAGCACCTGCAGGCCAGGTTTGCTAAATTCTGTTAACAACAACATCTGCCAATACCGCATCACTGGGCATGGCGCCAGACCCTCATTCTCTCGTTCATCACACGATTCCCAAGAAGTAGCTGTTGTGATTCCCAGTGACAGGTGAGAAAACTGAAGCTCCGAGGTCTCCTGCATCTCCTGAAAGTCCGTAAGTGTTGGGGATGGTATCCAAGCAAGTCTGACCCCCCAGCACAGCACTTGTGGGGCTCAGCTCCACCCTCTCACTCACCATGAGAGACAGGACAGTTCATTTAACTTCTAGGGCATATTTCCTCATTGGAGGTAGGGAACCTGCTAGGAAGTGGGCAAAGGCCATACAAGGTACTTCTCAGCAAAAGAAACACAGTATCTTACAGAAGTGCAAAAGCATGTGTAATTACAGAGGCACATTCAAAAGTGACAACATGGGTTACACATCAGATTGGCCAAGATAAAAACCACACAGTGAGAGTGAGGACGCGGGGAAACACCATTTTCATTGGCTGTCAGAAAGTGTTAGAAATTCACGTGACCTTTTGAAGGGCATTTTTTCAGTATCTAAAAACATTTTACATGTATATACTTTTAGTCCAAATTAAATTCTGAGGGAAAGTATCCTAAATGTATATAAACACATGTATATGAAACCCTACTTAACAAGGGTTGTCATGGCAGCACAGTGTCTGGTTAAAAAAAGAAATCAAAGACTGTACACAACCCAAATGTCCATTTTTGGAGGAATTGGTTAAATAACCCATTCATATTCATACTATGCAGCCCCAAGAAGGATGGATCTATATATGGTGATAAAGTATACTCTGTAAAACATGGTCTTATGAGAAAAAAAAAAAGATGAAGTAGAATACATGTTTCATTTTGTAAATGAAAAAGTAATTGTATAGATGTACAATACTTCTAGAAGGTTTCTCATAAATCTATAAAGCTCCTGCCCTGGAGGTGGGAAGAAAGTATCCTTTTCTATCATGAACTCTTCAAACATTGCTTAAATTTTCTTGTTTTGTTTGTAGCTTGTGCTAAAGAGTGCCTGTTGTGCTTGCTCACCCTTTGGAAGGTGTTTAGGTTGAGGTCTCAGAAGGGCGTTTGATGGACTCTGTACCTGCCACTCAGAGGGGCAACCTGCCTTCACTTGCCGGCTTCTCCTCGCTGGTGAAGGGCCTCTCTGTCCGCATGGCAGATGGGCTGGTGAGCTCCCGCTGCAAACACAGGACCCTTTACCCCGCACTCCTGTTTCCCTGGAGGCACTGCAAGTCCCCAGAAATAACTGGCCCACTCTGGGCACCCTTGGAAGGTACACTTGCTGGCTGTGCCAAGGCCATGTGACTCCCCGAAGCCACGGGTATCTGGAGGGGTTGAGCAACAGCTTCGATGGAATGTCATTTGGCACTGAGCACAATCCTCCCTGCTTCTGCCAGAGGTAGCGCATTCTATATAAAGCTGCCGGACCTGGCCATCTCCTCACTGAGCCTGATCCCTCCCCACCAGGGGCAAGGCACTGGATTTCTGCACATGACCCCTCCTCAATAATTGTGGCCCTTGGGTTTATGCACCCAGTTGGGTGGGGGAGGCCTGGCTGGGAGGAAGCAGCAGGTCCTCTCGTTCTAATCTCTGGTTCTGGGGGTGGGGTAGTGATGTAAACTGAGACAGGAAGGATATAGACACATCCTGCCTGGGTTAGCAGCGGTGGTGAGAAATAGAGCCCCATGGTTCTCCCACGGCAGAGATCCTGCCAGAAAGTAAATCCTAAGGGTAATCTGGAATGGTATGCAAGTAAGGGCTGCATCTCCATCAGTTCTGGAGGAGAAGTGTTTGCAGTCAACCGTCAAGGGTCAAGGTCTGAAACCTGAATCCTGGAGAACCGCTGTAAAGCGGCAGGGTGAGTGGATGGGTTGGGGGAGGGCAAGGCTCCCTAAGCATGCCCGTCTCCTCGAAGGATTGTAGGCCTGCACTTCCTGGGTACCTGAATTGGCCCCCTGAGACACACATACAAACTAAATAGTATCCGATTCACACAGACACACACTCACTGGTGTCTGACTCACACTCACAGACACACACACAAAGGTATACACGAACTCACAGGAGCTCATGGATTCTCAGTATGATAAAGATGCTGGAATTTATCAAGTGCTGAACATGTGTTCATCTCTATGCTGAGCCGCTGATGTGTACCATCTCTCACAATCCAGACAGGCACACTGTCCTCTTATTCCCACAAAGGGTGATGACACTGCAGCCAAGGATGTCGGCTTGCCTCTGGTTCCTGCGATAAGTTGCACACATGGTTAAGTTGCACACATGGTCCGGAAGTGGGCAGGGAGGAACTCGGACACCTGGTGGGCACACACAGGGCCGTGTACACAGAGAGGCACAGAGGCGGCCCAGCGGCGCTCAGCCAGGCTCAAGTTTGCTGCCTAAGGCCACACGGCCATCTTTTTAAAAGACATAAACAAATGGAGTGTGTCTCCAGTACCCATAACCAAGACCCTGTTAACTACTAAATGTGTTACATTATAGACTCAGAGTCTCCTCTGACAGTTTCTAAGAAGCAGACCTAGCCAGGGTAGGGAGGAGTGATCAACACTGTCTTTTGTTTGCTTGCTTGTTTTTTAAATGAAAATTCAATGTTTATTGCAAAAGCCCAACGGCGGGGGAGAGGGTGGGGTTGGGGGAGGCCCAGTAACGTTTCAGAACACTGCTTTTGAAATTCACAAAGAACCCCAGCGGGATTTCCTGTCCTTAAGAAAGCAAGTGCTGGTTTTAAAAAGAGAGAAAACAGGCTCTGGAGAATTGCAACCGTCCCAACGGTCTAGGCGAGCCGAGCCGATCCCCGTAACATCTGCGTGTGGCTGGTTCCCGCCCGCCTGGGAGAGGAGAGGAGTCGGAGTTAGCAGAGTTAACTCCGAGTTTCTCAGAACGCGCCTCCACCTTCCTGCCAGCGCAGCCCCGAAAACAAGTTGTGCTTTCTCTCTGCGCTGCTTACCGATCTGTCTCTCCCTCTTCATTCTCTTAGGGGAAAAGTTCTGGCCACAGGCACTTCCCCACCACCACACAAAGAAACAGAAAACCAGCGGATGGCCGCTGGGACGGAGGTGGCCTCTCCAGGCCCGGGGCGCGCGGAGCCCGGGCGCCAGACTCGGGGGACACCGACCCCGCGGTGCCCAGGGCGCTGCGACGCCCGGCTTCCCGCTGGGCGAGGGACCCACGCGACCGCGTCACCGAACCTCGCGGGAAGCCGCGCCAGCCAGAGCCACAGTTCGGGCTCGCCCCCCGCCCCCGGCGGGCACTCACCTTGCTGGGTCGTGGTCGGCGGCAGCAGCGTGCTCATCGCTGACCGGCGCGGGGCACGGCCCGGCGGACCGTGGCAGGGGTCGCGGTCGGCCGCTCCTGACCCTCAGCAGCCGGAGGAAGCAGCACCTGTGTCACACTCCTCGGCGCGGGCCGCGGGGAGGGGCTCCGGCCGGAGATAGGCAGGCTTCATTTAGTTTTTTCTGCAGACTTGGCTGATGGGGTTCCCACCCATTTTTTTTTTTTTAAACACATACACCCGCCCACTTCTGAACTCTTCTGTGCTCCGACTTTCCTGCGCGGCAATCACATTTTTCTAACTAGTTTCTGTTTCTATCTGCAGCTAACAGATAGAGGTTGTGTTTGAGAATTAATTACCCTGTGTGTGGGCTGAAAAGCCCGCAGACGTGACGAGATGGCCTTCCCCGATGGCCTTCCCCGCCTCCCCTGTCCGGGCCGGTGACCAAGGAGAGCCAGACTCACGTTGGTGTCTTGGCGGATCCTCTGAGGCCTCTCAGAGCCGCGGAGCCTTGTGGCCTGCGGAGTGTTCCTGGCCTCCTCGTGACTTAGGGGAACTGTTCCAACCCATGGGCTTGTGTTTGGGAAAGGTTCTTAGAAAAAAGGGGTGCTGGCTAAAGACCCTGAGACTTGTTTGGATCACCTTTGTCTGAGGCTTTCAGATAGAGTGGAGTGTTTGGAGAATTCACTTTATTAGGCAATTAAAAACTCAACAGGGATTTTGACACTCTGGTTAAATGAACTCTACCCATCTCAACCAAAAAGAATATTGTCTGATATATAGCATTATATTCTCTTCACCCGGCAGAGAGAAAGGCAGGTAGCTTCAGAAAACATCACCTTTATTTTAAATCCCTGTCCAAGGAAACACCCGGGCCTTCTCCTGTCTTACCTTTTCTGCGGAGTTTTCGCTGCTGTTTACCGGACAGTCCTCGTCTCTGCCGCGATCTCAGGGCTCGTTTCCAGCGGTCTGTGCAGTGTGTGTGCAGCTGGGATTACATCCAGACTGAACACAACTCAAGACTGCTCCCTGGAGGTGTGCAGTGCAGATGATCTGCCCGTTTCTCCCAGCCTACACCACTCCAGGCGTCTTTACTAGAGCTGCCTGTTTGACACACTGGGAAAGTATTTCTAATTCTCTTTAGTTAGATAATGTTTATAGAGCTTTAATCAAAATTCCACACTCGACACGTCTTGTGTTGACGAGAAGTGAACTCTTCACGGAATGTCTTTGGCCAGGTATGGAAATTTTGAGTCTCAGTTTCCCTATCTGTAAAATGGAGACAAGAACAATTACATTCCCGAGTTTTAAAGAGGCGATGTCTACCTAATGACAGTGGGACAAAAACGGCATTTAATAGAAGCTGGCAGTGATCAGTGTAACAGTTAATACATGTAGGTTCATGTTGGTTAATAGCATCGCCTGTGTTCAGATTCATAAATAAAACAACTGCAATTATCTGAATGGCAGCTGGGGAATTGAAACCAAAGACCAGCCAGGTAAGCAAAGACTGAGTCCTGAGGTCATTGCACCTTGCTAATGGGAGGACATCCCAGAACCTCACTTACAGTTAACTGGTCTTTGGACATAAGCCTAAGATTTGCTTAAATTAATTTTTAGTGAAAGTGAAGTTGCTCAGTTGTGTCCGACTCTTTGTGACCCCATGGACTGTAGCCTACCTAGCACCTCCATCCATGGGATTTTCCAGGCAAGAGTAATGGAGTGGGTTTCCAGGTAGGACAGGTTAAAAGCGCCAAAAAAAAATTGCCACAAATCCCTTATGGACAGGAAGCCCAAAACTAAGCAACTAAACAACTCAACAACAAGAGTAGAAAGCTGAACAAACTATTCAGATGAGCTACAAGAACAAAGTAGCGTTCTAAAGCATCTCAGCCCCACCCTTAAGGAGAGAATGTGACTGTGCCCTGGGCCACCAAGGAGCTGAGGCTTCGGGACTCCATCTGGTTCTGTGACTTTACTGCCTTCTAGCTGGGTAACGCTCGGCATTTCGCTTGACTTCTCTGAGCCTCATATTTCTCATCTGTGAAATTGAGGAGATCTGCAAAGCTTGGTTGTTATGAGTGATACATTAGCCAGTTAATCATCAAACAGACGATATGATGTCTTACTCAGCACATAGGAGTTAAAGTTATCTGTTCCCTTCTCCTTCACTGGAACACTTGGTTTATGGTAAGGACCCCAGGCAAATCTGAAAAGAAGGTAAATAGTATTTAATGGTCTATGGGGTCGCAAAGAGTGGGACACGACTGAGTGACTAAGCACAGTATTTCATAGTGAGTAGTTCAGCTAATAGGGACATGTTTGATATTTTAGAAGATTAACCATGCAAGTGCCTAATATTAAAGAAATGAGGACTAGTTAAAAAGGTAAAATCATTATATGAGATGTTAGATAATATGGCAAGAGTCTGACATTAAATCACAGAAATGCACTACTAGTGTATCTTAATGTGTTAGATATTTATTAATGCGGTAAAGAGCTCAGCTCTGTCTTGAAACAATAAAGCAGTTCTTACCTCACTTAATTCCCAGGAGTACCTTCAACGAGGATATTGTCAAGGGCCCGTTTTATTTTTAAATTAACTTCTTATTGGTGCACAGTTGCCTTTCTTCGTTGTGCGTTTCCCCTGTGCAGCAGAGAGACTGGCCGCACACACGCAGATCTCTGTTCGGGCCTCCCTTCCGCTGAGGTCCCTGCGGAGCGCTGTGCGGCGGGTTCTCCGCAGTCAGCCGTTTTACCCAGAGCATCGACAGCGCGTAACGTCAGCCCCCACCTCCCAGGGCATCCCTCGCCCCTTTCCCTCCTGAAGGGCACAGTTAAAGGGGAGAAAACTGAGGCTGGGACAGCGACGAGAATGTGATCCACGGCAGTGGAACCAGCATTGAGTCTCAGCCCTGGCAGACCCTAACGCGTGTCGGGCAGGGTTGGTGTAACCCTCCTACAACCTCCAAGGGATAGGAAGATGCCACGAGACCGTGTTGGGGATTTTCTCTTCCTTCCAAGCACCATACAGGGTAGGCGTTGCCCACAGGAGGTGTACCCCTGCCTGCTTTATCCCCAACCCAGACCAAAATGCACGTGCTGCTGGACCCCTTCATAGGAGAAACCTGTATACAGGTCAGGAAGCAACACTTAGAACTGGACATGGAGCAACAGACTGGTTCCGAACAGGAAAAGGGCTGTGTCAAGGATGTATATTGTCACCCTGCTTATTTAACTTATATGCAGAGTACATCTTGAGAAATGCTGGGCTGGAAGAAGCACAAGCTGGAATCAGGAGAGAGAGAGAGAAATATCAATAACCTCAGATATGCAGGCGACACCACCCTTATGGCAGAGAGTGAAGAGGAACTAAATAGCCTCTTGATGAAAGTGAAAGAGAGTGAAAAAATTGGTTTAAAGCTCAACATTCAGAAAACTAAGATCGTGGCATCTGGTCCCATCACTTCATGGCAAATAGATCGGGAAACAGTGGAAACAGTGTCGGACTTTATTTTTCTGGGCTTCAAAATCACTGCAGATGGTGATTGCAGCCATGAAATTAAAAGACACTTACTCCTTGGAAGGAAAGTTATAACCAACCTAGACAGCATATTTAAAAGCAGAGATATTACTTTGCCAACAAAAGTCTGTCTAGTCAAGGCAATGGTTTTTCCAATGGTTATGTATGGATGTGAGAGTTGGACTGTGAAGAAAGCTGAGCACTGAAGAATTGAAGACTCTTGAGAGTCCCTTGGACTGCAAGGAGATCCAGCCAGTCCATCCTAAAGGAGATCAGTCCTGGGTGTTCATTGGAAGGACTGATGTTGAAGCTGAAACTCCAGTACTTTGGCCACCTGATGTGAAGAGTTGACTCATTGGAAAAGACCCTGATGCTGGGAGGGATTTGGGGCAAGAGGAGAAGGGGATGACAGAGGATAAGATGGTTGAATGGCATCACCGACTCACTGGACAGGGGTTTGGGTGGACTCCGGGAGTTTGTGATGGACAGGGAGGCCTGGCATGCTGCGAGTCATGGGGTCACAAAGAGTCGGACATGACTGAGCGACTGAACTGAACTGATGAGTTCTTAGAGGCGGAGGTGGACAGATTTTACTTGAGTCCTTTAATTTTTTAATTTAAATGAACTTTCTAATAAAAAGTTTAAAAATTCTAGTAAAAGGTTTATCCTTCATCAAAGGAATAGATGCTCTTTGTGTAAAAAAACTAAATGGAGAGGAAAGAAAAATGAACCCAAGTCTAACAACTGCTCGGAAGCTCTGGTATGTGTCATGGATCAGTCGCTCAGTTACGTCTGCCTCTTTGTGACCCCACAGACTGTCGCCTGCCAGGCTCTTTTGTCCATTGGATTTTTCAGGCAAGAATACTAGAATGGGTTGCCATTTTCCTCCTCCAGGGGATCTTTCCAACCCAGGAATTGAGCAAGTGTCTCCTGTGTCTCCTGCATTGCAGGCAAATTCTTTACCTGCTGAGACAGAATCAGAGAAACCCTAATTTCTGGCATGTGAAGGTATTTTTATTTCTAGCTTTTTTTTTTTTTTTTTGCATTTGTGGACCTTTGTTCTGTACTACTGAGATCTTCCTGACTAAAATTCCCAGGTGGCACTAGTGGTAAAGAAACTGCCTGCCAATGCAGGAGATGTAAGAGGTGCAGGTTTGATCTGGGATCGGGAAGATCCCCTGGAGGAGAACATGGCAACCCACGCCAGTATTCTTGCCTGGAGGATCCCATGGGCAGAGGAGCGTGGAGGGCTTACAGTCCACAGGGTGAGAGTCGGACACTGCTAAAGTGACTCAGCACACATATCTTCATTTCATGTATTTTTCCCTCTTAGCTAGTATTCCACAAGTGGAATTACTGAATCAAAGAGTTGGAGTGTGTTTAAGGCTTTTGATATATTCATGAGCTAGGCCTATAACAATTTGTATTCCCCCTAATCAAGAGTGCCAGTGCTCATTTCAGAATTAAACGCTAGATTTTAAATCATTCTGTAAATTCTGTAGATGAGAAACATGTAGTT